ATTGTAGGCAGGGTTAGATTTTTTTTTCTTACATTTTAATCTAATTAGCTAACTAAATAGGCCCTTGGCTTTCTGGCAATTAAAGTCAAGATACAATAGTTACTTTGACTTAACTTTTAAGCTAGACATTTCTTTGCCACCCAAAGGGTTTTTGAAAATACTGCTTTGTTAGTTGAAAACTAGGACAACTTGTGTAAGCCAGGTAACTTGCGAACTGTGAAATCTGATCGAAAGTTTGTGAGACTAGATTGACAAATAGCGCCTTGTTATTTTCGATGGAGTGATATTTTGCTTCCCCCAAGTGTATATTCATTGGGTAGTTGCTGCCAAGCTTATTCCTTACATATGGCACATATTGTCGGCAGCGTGTTGCGTTGCCTTCCATGCCAGCGCGATAAGCGAGCAGCGTCAATGATTCATTAGATCAAATCAATTAGTTTGGGTAGTTTTATTTAATGCAATGTATCTTGGCAACGTAAATTGTCGGATTCATATGACTCGAGCCGGTTTGTAGACTCGTCTAATATCTGTGTGGTTTAAAACTGGACCGTCTAAAATCGCAGAGTAAAAATAGTTCGAGACACTGGAGCTGAGAGCTTAAGCATCATCGGTTTTAACGTATACAGAAAATGTAACTAGTCTGAACAAAGACTATTGTAAGATACAGGTAGAACTGTATTTACGTTCCCCGTTTGGCGTCCGCCAAAGACATCGGTGACTGGTGGTGACATAAACATTTTTGATAAATACTTTTGATATATGGGGGATTTTCGTACGAAAAGCCTCAAATCAATAGGTATGAACAGTGGCGTTGATCAGATTTTTGTTGGCATTTCTACGGGTTGACAACGCATTTTTGCAACGGTGAGGTGTAACGGTTGTTAACGTTTCTACAGCGGATCTGATTCGGCTATACGGAAAACTATTAGTTGTTTTCCTATGCTTGTCCACCTCCGCTCCGTTTCGGCACGGTGTTTGTTCGCATTGCTTCAAAAACCTGCCAAGACGAAAGAAGAAAGCTTACCTGGAACAGGGTGATCTTTATCCACCACTTTAGCACCTATCTATTAAAGAGCATTCTATTGAAGGTGCAGCTATCCGCTCTTTGCTAACAAACTATTCAGTATCAACGTATTCAGTCCTACAGAGAAACTACAGAAGCATTATATGTATGGCTAAGAATGGTACTAGCCTTAAGTGACTCATGCGCCAAAATTTCTTAATTTTAAATCCCCAACATCTACATAGGTTTTTTTCAGGGCTTTTTAAGAGTGGCCGATTCCTTCTTGAACTTTCTCGTTTTTTTTTGCCCCGAGCAGAAATAGCAGTGAGTGTTACTTACCATTGTTTGATGCAGTTCTTACCTCGTCGATAGACCCTAGATTATCAAGTTAATGATGAACGGGCATTGTTACCGTGTCACGTCTTTTGCGAATGAGCTCCCCAAAGACATTAAAATTGCAAACCTGGTGCGTACCATAAGAGTGAAGATTCGAGTTTTACTTGTAGTAGAACGAAGCTATATTGCCTTGTGAACAAACTTACTAGAGGTGATAATTAAGGCGAAATAATAGGTGCTTAAGAACCTTGAAGCTTGAATGTATTACTTAGTGTACCTTAAATATATCATCAGTAAAATATATGTATAACGATGGATTTTATCGTAAAAGACGGCGATTGACATGAAACTATAATTAGTCTAACATATAGCCAGGGAGATTCGGCGTTCACATAGAACGAAATCTACTATCCCAGAATCCAAACATATACCACGCCGCTGGTCGGCACAATTGGGTATTTTTCTAAAAATTCAGAATACTTTGAGTGCTATAGTAAAAGAACTGTTATTTTAGTGTTCTATATATAAGGTGGGCGATACGAGATAGGGGCTATATGAGCCAGTCAGAACCGAGCAAACGCTCCATTTGAATACTCTCAAACTTCTACAGTGTTCGAAATTCATACGGGCCAGAAGTCCAGCGCGGTTTGGGTTAGTGAATTTTCTTTATTATATAAATTTTAAAAGGCAGAGATTTTATTTTTCGTATTTCAGTAAACGATAAAGAAGCGAAATAGCCCCTTTGTTCGATATAACAGTTTCAAGCAGAAAGCATGGTGTATTTTATAAAGTTACATTATTACATTGAGTTATATTACATAAGCGAAGACGGGGTGGGACTCCACGAGTTATTTTATTTCAAGCATATATGAAATCAGATATTTTACGGGGGAATTTAAGGACTAAGTATCCTCAGAGTACAACCCAGCTAGAAAGCGATGTGATAGAGATGTGTATACGAGAAGCCAAACTAAGATATCGTATTTTAGCACCAGTCAACGACAACATAACTCATTTGGTTGCCTTTGAAAGAAATGTTAACAACTTGACAAGACGCATAAAACAATACTATCGTTACAGATGATCACTATTGTAAATTAGAATCCACCGCGAATATCCAATATTTGTACCGGAATCATACATAACCACGATGGGCGTGTAAGGTTCAGTGCCATCAGGTTGGCTTCAGAAAACGGACGCGCGAAGTTTTTTCCGAAGTACAATTCGTTGATGTCCAGCATTGCGGCAATAAAACAACGTTCTATAACACTGCCCAGCTGACGGATCGTAACCTTTGACCTATCTAGTTTGGCGGCGGCTAGTTATAAAATATCGTCATTTCTTGCCGTAATCACAATCCCTTCTAAGAAGGAAAGTACTTTCCTTTTAGCTTGGTAAAATTATTAACTTTTTTTGCATGAAGTGGTCCCCGTCTCTGATCCAACGAACATAGGGCCTATAACATAAGGGCTTTCAATTTATATATATTTTTCCTCAAAAATTAATTATAGTACGCCATTCTGACTCCCATAGTAAAAGAATTCTCGGCGAATATATTGATATTTATCGTCCTCGCACAGTACCAGTTGTTTACAGCAAAAATGTCAAGAATAATGTCTCGTGCAGCCCCATCCTTCCTAATGAATGGTATTTAAGAATATTCTTTTCCAAAGCTTCAAGATAATTAGTGGCAGGTGACTGTTATAATATCCGTGTTCGTTCCCTTCGTTTTTCTTTAAGACATATGAAACGTAACTGTTCAGTTTCACGCTGATAACATTTGTCGTAGTTTGATGATTCTCTAAGCGTAAAGTCAGTTTGGGCTGTCAGTTTCGAAAATACACACTTCATAGCTGTAGATACCTGACGGTAAAATAGTTACAAACTATAATTGCTAATACTACTATAATAAAGTGGAATGATTCTTCGTATTATCTACTTTTGTCACTGGCCACCCGAAGCGCTTTAGTGCAATGATTCCATTGCCATTATATTACACAAATAAGATTGTGAGAGACAGGTCCACCTCGCGCCTTGGTCATGACTGCCGAAGTCGAGTTATCTACAACAAAGCGGCCACAAGAAAAGTTTAACTTTCATCTGGATATTTATGTCTCTCACACCCATCATTAAGCAGGTACTATCGAGGACCATTCCTAACGGTGCTCCACAATGCGGTTGCATTACTGGTATCAAACAAAAAAAAAAAAGTAATTTATCACCAGTGTAGAAGGTATGCTCAGTTCACGGCGGATACCAAGTTATTCCTATCGGAATGTTTTAAGGCGTTATAAATAGAAAAACAAGTTCGCTATCTTTTTATCCAAAGCGGCACCGAACTGAAAGTTCTCTTCGGAAAAATTCAGAACGACCGAACGATGCATTGCACAACCTTCCTTCCGCAGTGCTTACAGAGGCGAAATATGTATATGTGTATGTTTACATAAGGACTCATATCGCATAAGAACACTTCATCTCTCATCCAAGTTCTTGGACCCACAGAACGAGCTTTCTCTATACGACACTAGACTGCCAGAAGCTCAACTACTAGACAATAAAGTATAAATTCTATTGGGCTGACATAGTCAATCGCTGCAATTTACTACCTTGCTAATCTTCGTCGTGCTTGAAACTTGCCATATAGTACAGGACATAACGTTCCAACCGAATGTAACTGGTTCGCGGAAAGCTCAATGGCCTAAATCACGACTGAGCAAATTTACCTTTGTGGTAGATACATATATACGATGTTTCGCCAAATAAACAACATACGATGACCCAATGACTTTCTACATAGGTAAAAACAAAGGACAATACTCAGACATTTCTATTCCAAAATAATATAAACAAGCTTCTTCGGCTTCTTTTCGAGCTTATCCACTTATTGGAACTTAGCCTATTATCCTCTGACACGTTATTCCCTAGCAGTGTGCTATAGGAACTTAGTAACTATCTCTTAACTTGGGGATAGACTATATCTGGGCTCATAACTGCCACCAGTTCAGTAGAGGCAATTTTCTAAAAAGTAGATTTTATCTACAGGAGCTATTCAAGGCGTATAAGGATTCAGCCTCCTATTCACAAACGACGTTACAGGTGTCTTTTTCTTTATACTACATACTGCAGCTGTACTTAGTACTACAGCTATCGCCACTACCTTTACCACTTCTAAACACTTTGCGCCGTCCCGGACGGAACAGCGGCCAAAGTGGCTTGACTCGTTTTGTGTTTTCTCCTGACTTTTCTTCAATGGAAAAAGCATTAACGCTCGTCCGAGAGCCAGCTTGTGTTACGTACACTCCAGCTATTTCATTCTGTTCCACTTGAGATCGTGCATCATGCCGGCAATCGTTTCTGATGTGCCCCCACGCGGGTGTTCAGCATGGCATGCTATACGCGTTTGATGGGGGCCGAATGTGTGACGTCACTTCCATCGGAGGCCTATGAGGCCAATCGGCGCTAGCTAAAGGGGTGTGGCCTCAGGGTTGAGAGAGGACGCACTGACGGGGAGGGATAGCCGCGCGGTATCTCAAAAGACGCCCCATGGTCGGCCGGATGGCCAGTTTGGCAAAACACGCTCGATCCAGGACACGAACCCGCGAACGAAATAAATAGAGAGAGTGTGTGTGAGAGAGAGATATATAGAGAGAGAGAGAGAGAGAGATAGAGATAGAGATAGAGATAGAAAGAGAGAGAGAGAGCGAGAGAGAGACAGAGAAAGAAAAGAGGATACGAGCACCGTAGGTGGCTGTCTAGTCTGACTAGTAATCGGACAGATCTACGACACGAAGCCTACAGGACCTTTGTTCCAGCCGTGTCGCTTTCTTTTCTAACGTACGAAGCTGCTGCCACCAGACTCAAACGTTACAAGTAGAACAAAAAAAAAAACTCGAGAGACTAGATTGGACAGTGAAAGCGGCAACCGCGAATACACGCGCATCGCACAAGCGGGCTGGGATGATTTCGTTCAGAACATCTTCGACAGCGGCTGTTCTGCTCGCCCTGCTAATAAGTGGTGAGTGAAAGTGAAACAAGTGTGATGAAACTGTTACCCATATACATAAAAGTGTGTATATACATAGGTATATTGGCGAAGATATATATGTGTATATGTTGGGGCAATATGGGCCTATGTATTTTAGGTTAAACGAAACCGGATATCAGCGATGGTACTTTACCGAAAAATTTCGCGCTGAAATATAATACAGCTTAGTTGGAATGCATACAGGGTAAGGCACTTAAATTTAAGCCAACGTTGGCGGGCTGTTTATCGTGAGGGGTGTGCGTCCGCCACTCGAAGGACGACTGCTCTTTCTAGAACAAACATATTCATTTGGCCAAGAACAATGCGTCGTTACAAAAAGAAGCTACTATCCAATCTTCGTTTTCTTCTCGTTGATCAAGCCCCCCACCAACAGCCATCAACAACTTTCTTATTTGCTTAAAGTCGACAGCTACGTCATTGCCAGTTTTTATGCAGCTTCCGAAAAATCTGAAAAAGGACTTCCGACAGGACTTCAGGATATATCAGGAGATCCTCAGCAGACTTTCGATTTACAGGGCTAAGAAATGCATTGAAGTTGCTCGAAAAATCATTTTTGATATACCTGAATTTTTAATGAAATAAGGGCTGCCTTGGAGGGAAACATGTCAACTGAAGTTTGAATAATGAAAAAGCTCCAACGTGTCGACTAAGACTTTTTGTGCGTTTTAGCCATTTAGTACTTTTGTATGTTTGGCTTACTATCAGCTGGCAATTTAGTTCCGTTGAAATATCTTATGTATAGCGTATTCTAACGACGCTCGAGCGAGTCTGTACTTAGTAATATCAATTGTTACTGAATAGTTATTTGCGGATTGTGGAAGGCATATTTTGAAAATGACGAGTGAATAGTTCGGGCCCCGAATCAAATCTGTAATCAAAGCTAAATGGTAATAATACTGAATGCGGATGACCATTAGAAACAACACTTACAGCCCATGTAGAAAACTTCGTTGAAATTTGTGTTCTTATTTACACAGTCGTAGAAATAAGACAGGAGACGAAATTACGATTTAGGCGCCATGTCCTGTTTATATACATAATGTCAAGCTAACACCTAAAAACCCAGCTTCATGCCGAACAGCGGAGTTTATGTGGATCTACAGTAGATGATGACAGTAAATTATTATAAAGCATCCTTTCTAGCTAGAATCGTAGCTCTTTTTATAAAAAAAAAAAAAAAAAAAAAAAAAAAAACCTTTGTCGTAGCTTTAGGTTAGTGACTTCTCTGCGCAAAATAATGAGCAGCTCATGTAACTTTACTTTTCTACATTTCGAATTTTACATGAGCTATAGACGTTAAGCTGGTTCCCAGCACGAAACACGAAGTGTGCGTATGCCTGAGTTCGAACACTAACCGTAATGTGTTTTCAAATACGCTATTCACCTAGCTATCACGGGGGGCATATAACCTACCTAGTGGAACCATATAAGCCAACAATATAGATGTCTATTTCTTGAAATTGACTTAACGGTAGTGAGCCTTTATTTAAATCGCATAGTAAAGACTTCCTTAAAGAGTATATTAACACAGCTTTTCTTCGGTAGCAATTGTTGTTTTCAATGATAGCGTTGCTCATATAGCCCTAGCGTTTCCTAAATATACATAAAATACTTCCATTCAGAAGTGTCTGTGGATTTTGTATTGAGTCTTATCTCTTAGCGGAAGCTCCCTTGCCTTTAATACTCTCAGCAGATTGAAAAAAGTGGATTATTTCTATTATATTCTGGCGATAATAACAAAAAAGTCAGGATTGGAAAATGAATAATCTCAATATAAAACATGATGTTGATAAGGATCTAAAAACTACACTTTGATTCGCCCTCACTATTGACCTTTGAAAACCTTTTTGTTAAGGAAAACAAGCTCTTCTTCGATCAATTTATTATATATTCTCTTCGTTGTAAACGAACTATTGACAACCTAACTGCTTGCCTTTTTTCGGTGGGTTCTAGGCGGCTCTCGTTGGTGGTCTCCGACAAACTGATCTGTCACACAATTCCGCTAACTGAATTGTATGATGGACCAATTTGACGATTTTTATTTACAAAAAATAAGGGCCGCTGACGACAACAGTGTTCATGACTCCTCATGAAATATGGTTTGGCGCATTAGCAGCAAGGCAAGATTTGTTTTCAAGGCTTGGACGCGCTTCCGCTTGAAGGGTTCTTGCAAAAATACTAAAAAAATCTATGTTACGATGCTATCGGAAACGATACAGACTTCGTATGCGAACCTTCAAGAGGTTTGCAGGGCGAAAGAAAAATGATCAGTAAGCCCCCTCTCATGAGTAAGTCTCATTTAAACCAATCCAAGTTGGCTAGTGGATTACGCAGTCGTTTTACGACATACAGAAATTGAACGAGCATAGGTCCTATGATATATGCTTGTTAGGTCATTCACGGATTAATTTATGAAAAGAGAAAAAATAAGCTTAAACGAGCCATATTTGTCGGCGGTTGAATAGACTTTTTTTGGGTTGCCTGCTGCAGCCTTGGTCCTAGCCAGAGTCTCGGGTTATCATATATGTGCGGACATATAACTAATCTCAGCGATTGCACTTTGGTACGCTCATACAACTAGCACAATTAGCTGGCCCCGTGGGTCACTTACCTACTCCGGGATAGCTCCGGGAAAAAATTCGCCGAGGTTGTCTATTCGAGCGTGTTGTTTCATCACCACAAATGCTACAGTGGAGAATCAGTTATTAAGACAAGGGCAGATCTCATTAATATCTCTCTGATGTTTAACATTATGTGTTAAACATGTGTAAATAGAGTGGCTTTGGTGAACGATAATTAACATTGTACGTCTTATTATTTTTAAACTACTTTTCCCTCCCATAAGGCAATTCATATGTACCTTCCTATTTTTTATCCCTACTGGTTATCTCCAGTGTAACAGTTGGGTTCTGTGATCAAAGAAAGATTTAAAGAATCCCTCCTTATAGGATGATAAAAAAAAAGTTAAGCCAATCGTTGTCAGACTTGGCTGATTTATTGTTATAGTTCCATGATGGACTGCGCAACAATATCCTTATCGATCACTTGGGAAAAATCACAGCGCGACAGAGAAGAAACATTGAGGTGTTCTATTGAAGGAGCGCCTTTCTTTATTCCTTTAGTGATTTTGTGGATTAGTCCTACAACTAGTCCTGGGTCGTGATATCGCGGACCCTATTTGATCTCTTATTAATAGCAATGAGCATCGATTATTATAAAGCAATTGAATTCGAACGAAGTAACTTGAAATGCTGTAAAATTACACTCACAACGCCAGAGGATCTATTTACCAGCAGTATTGCGCTAAGGGGAAAATGTCCTTCGTCACCCTGTCATGGGGACTACCGGCACACACAGATGAGGTAAGTGTGGATTCATTCACAACATACTTCATAGCAGGAAAAAAATGATGACGCAAGCAGATTGGTGCCTGCGATGTACCTGTTTCCAGCACACACAACTTCAAAGTAACGTTTGATCACTTAGCTACTTCTACTATGATTACTGGCTCGTTAAAACAGTAAAATATGTCGTTCATACTATGAAACAAACGAGAACCAAAGCTTGATACGACTATTTATGTAAATGCGTGTATCACGTGTTTTTTTTTACTGCTCTCACATTTTAGGGAATGCACTACTTGTACGACGAATAGCTTTGCTTATGGATAAGCAAACATTTGTTAGAAATGGTTTTTAACTAACCACGTTTACAACAAAAATTACATGTAGACCACAGAAAGTAATACGGTCAGATACGGGTCTCTCTGCCAGCAGCTGAACATCAAACTCTACGTTACTGCTTGGACGAAAAGTCCATTAAAATTATATCCGTTTGTCGTTTTTTCTTAATGTTAACTAACCTTCTTATTGAAAACTCCGTATTCTATGTAACGGTATGCACACAACGAAGCATCGAGTTTCTGGCAATCTTCACGCCTATGACTTGAAAACGATGTATCTGCCCCTTAGGAAATGTTTTTCATACAGTTGTGATTCAACAGGTAGTCTGCCGTTCACAGAATCATCTATTAGGTTATGTTTGCCCCTTCGGCACCACTATATTGTTCCATAATGCACGAACGTGCAGATATCATTTTAACTACTGAAGTGATCAGGCGTGCATGTGCACGGCCGCTGCTTCAACTCTGTAAGATCATTCGAGAGCTAGACAAATACAGAATGATAGATGCCTGAGAACAAGGTACATTACCATACATGTGCTAAGGATCTGCTAAGAGGTCAGTTAACGTTGGTTAGTACTGACCGTTTTTGGCCAGTTAAAGTTAAAGTCGCATATCTCAGGTAATAGAAGTTGCAACGGATCGTCGTTGGTGTCATTTGGAAGTTGAGACTTGATAATAATAAGGATGTGCTAGATAGTAATAGATGTGCTAAAACAATTGGAATATTTTTATTTAGCAAAGTGCATTGAAAATAAGTGTAATTCCTGAAAAAAAATTGCTATATTTTACAATTTCAGTACGATGAAGGTGCCAGTGCTATAAAAAAAAGAAATTATTCTGTTTATGATTAAGATACGTGATCAGGAAAGCGGGCCAAATATAATTCTATCGATTTTGTTCTAAAAAACCTCGTTGTGGAAAAATGCTACTCACAGGGATCGATCAATTGTGGAAGAAATTAATGAACTTACTGTGTTAGTTACCACCAAGAAATTAAACATCTACCACCAAACATTTTTAAACCATTGGAGGAAGGTGACTGATTGAGGTCCGAGGCTACAAAAGGGTCCATGTTTGGGAGCCACATGAACTCGATCCTATCTCCATCCACGAAAACCTACAGCAAAATCGAGCCATTTCTAAACTGGCTCTAAAGATTAATAAAAAGTGGGTTACATACGATAATAATGTAACGCAAAAAATAAATGTGCCCCAGAATCTGTAACCAAGTTGAAATTGATGCCCATACAACTCAAGCTATGTATTTTATAGGCTTGGTGAAATATCATGCATTATGAGTTGCTGACGCCTGACAAAACGATTGATTCAGATTTTTATTACAAACTACCAATAAGATTACAAAGAGCCGAACCTAGAAAAAAAAAGAGCGAATATAAAACGCGTCGTCTTTCACCATAACACCCATACGTCCTTAGCTACTCGGCGATCGTAAAGACAACAACAGGAGAAATCTCAGTACGTCTGCCGTATACCCCAGATTTTTTGTGCTAGACTTTGATCTGTTCCAGTTTGCACAGAATACCCTTAATGGCATTATTTAGTTTCAATAGACAACAGTGACCTTCCACTTCGAAATCCCAGAAGTTCTACATGGATGGAATGTACCAATGGTGCTACCAGAAAAACTAGAAAAGATCATAAATCAAAATGGTGCATATTTATTTTACCAACATTATTTCAAAATCTAGAAAATCACTGCTTCAATTTTGGCTTGATAATGCTCAATACTCTTTCAGTAACCTAATAACAATATATATTAGAAACCGAAGCTAGTAGGTTGCCTAATGCCGAAAGATGCTCGCACTCATTCAGGGTCCGTGCCCTAGATTTGCCACCTGAAAATGTCACGTAAGACGTATGTCTTTATTTACTAGATAGAACAAAACGCAAAACTGTAGATGAATAAAACTACGGAAGTCGTCATGAATTTCTCTAGTTCACGGCTTGCACGTAAGAGCGCAGTCTGTTTTATTAGGGAGACGACCTAGAAATTATTCTACGCTATTTCGGTTTTTCTGCTTAAAATGCGACGGTATTTTCCGGATGCCCACATAAACTGCGGGCAAAATACTATAGGACAAAATAAATACTCTGTGATCTATTTTTGGGTCACGAAAGAAAGCCAAAATGATCTGAAGTATCAACCCATTGACTTAATACACTTAAATAGAAGCTGTATGTACAAAAATGAAGGAATTTTTTTTTCTACGTATGCACTGACGTCAATGATAACGTTTATAGCATGCAGTAAGAGTTCTGTCTTTCTGTATTTAATATCAAGCGTATATTGGCGTCGAAAGTTCCGCTCCAGTAAAAGCTGTACCTCGTAGAGCTAAACTTTTCTTCTATCTGTCAGCATCGGACCTTGACGAAAGGCACATGAATAGTATAAGAAATCGCCCCCAGCTAGCTGTTTAGTGAATTGTTTTGAGACCATATAAAATACGTATTGAGCGAAAGCTTTTTGTCGTAGGTAAAATCCCGAACCATGAGCGAATATTTTAGCAGTTTCAAAGATGCGAACTTTCCAACTCTTCAGATGGAAGCATATGCTGAGCTTCGCGCTAATGAAGATTGCTTATGTTTCGCATGCTAAGTATTTCCACCCATTATGTAAACTTTTCCGAAAAGAATGAAGAGCCTAAAGTTGGAAAACTGTATAGGCCCATTTCGCTATTTGCCGATAGGACCATGGATAGCGCAGTGTGCAGAATGTCAGACAAATACACCTTATATACCATCTAGCCGCTTTCATGTACCTACAGTATGCTAACAAAGATGCAAAGTTACCGAATTCTGCTTCAGGGATAATAATAATAATAATATGTATTTGTTTTGTTTAGGTTATCACGTGCTTATGGTTCGTCGTCATCCATGTTAACGTATTACCTCTTCAAAATATTTGAAAAAAAAAAAGACAAAAAAATGTATAGTCAGTGAGAAAAAAAAAAAGGACTGTTTTCGAATAAACTTAGTATCGACTGAAATAATAGCAGTATAGCAGCCAGAGATCTGAGACAGCCATCATTTTAGAACTGTGGAGATACATTCTTTTATATGTGCCAGCTGCAAAGTTTAATACAAGAATACACTTTGTATCGAGCTGCTTTAGGCAGGTACCGGCAGTTCTCGATACATGATCTTTGATGTCCTTGAGCTTTAGTTTGTAAGCCATCTGGTAAAGAATGAGATCTGAAAAACTAGTGCAGCAAACTCCTTCATGAAGAACTCCTTCGTGAAGGAAAACGTTGCCAGTGTATTCCGTCTATAGCTTGTTCATCGTTTGGGTGAAAGACGGTAAGATTAGATACGATACGAAATTCGAGCTTACTTTTTTTCTGCTAATGTCATACCAATTGAGAAGAAAAATTTTTAGATATTTTTTTGTCGTGGCCATAATTTGGCTTGCCAATGTATTTACCACAGACTCTGAGCAGTTGGCCAAAGTGCTCTTCAACTCAAGGCTAAGACGTTTTAGTCTTAATGTTAAAGGGTGGGATTTTATTTCGAGACAGGGCAACATTTAGAGTGAACTTGTCAAAAGTTTTACCTGCGCGAATGAGCAGGTAATACGTATTAACTAAAGTTCAAATGTGCGTACGTATACGCAGCCCGTTAACTCCTAAGATATAAATGTTTCGGATTTTACGTTCAGCAGTGCCATTAAGCATCGCTTTCTAGTTTTCAGCGCCGATATATATACAAAATACGCCATTGCCAATCTTTGCTGTTTTTGTGTCCAAATATAGAGGCGGCGAAATTTGCAACGTATCCGCTGAACGTGATACGTTTGGATTAGTTCTCTTTTTCGCATCGCGTTCGTCGTCCTTGTAACCTGAATGGTAAAAGTGTATAGAACGAGCTGTCGTTGTGAGACATAGTTGCCTAAATCCCACAGGGGTGTTTGTATTCTGCCTCAAATCTAGACCGATGGTTGTCAAACACTGTTTGAAGTTTCTTCTGCTTTGTACTTATTTCGTTGCACTCCTGGGAATTGGCGACTTTGTATCCCAAGAAGAAGCCGTACCGCCGCGATCAGGGCAGACATCCCTGGGAAGCGGCACTTGTTTGCCATGTGTCGAACAACAGCCGACACAAATGCTACGCTGATAGCGCCGGGATGATGCGATGAGTGTATTAACTGTAGTAGCAAGTGGGGTTAGAAGCACCCGGATTCATCTCATTCCCCATTAGAGCACCCCAAGTTGCCTGTGGTGGGTGCTCATGAACGTGTACGTATGCCGACGCCGGTCGAAGTCTTGCAAACGGATGTCTAATAGTGGTCAGCTAGCCTTGAAGCGCGTCTTTTACTAGGGTAACATCCAATCAGCGGTTACCGCTCATGGCTCGCAGCAGAACTCCAAGTAAAGATGTCTGTTTTTGTTGAAGACGGCTGATCACCATCGCCAACGCATTCCCTAGGGGATTACCATTGTATTAAGAGTGATAGTGTCCCTGTAAGAGCTAACCAGCCATGACTGTACAAGGATACAATATGTTTATTATTCACGCATGGGGTATAGTGCCACAAGCGCAGGTGCTGCCTATCAAAACAACCCCTTGTATTGCTGTGAACTTACATGATGCGGCGATACATGGGCACAATGTGCCATGGAAACTGTGTCTAACCCTTGTATGCACCGGCATTTTTTCTGAGAAATCCGATGGCAATTGTTGATACTGTGTTTGTGAAATTCGAACCATCATAGAAACTCCGTTCGCATTCTACATGTATATATAAACACGAAGATATAATACAGAACTTCATCCACGCCGCTTATATGAAAATATCTTTCCTCGTGCAATAGTGCGCAAAATTAAGCTGCCGCTTACTTATCTGTCGTTAAATGTTTCAAAAACAGACGCATCGCTTTAGAAATTACCGTGCAAGTGGCCTACAAGGGGTGGGTAACACAATTATTTAACAAATGAAGTTTAACTATAATAAAGTTGTCAGCCTTTAAAGTAAAACTCGATGCAACGTAATAACCGCAGGGCTGAAGTAGTTAGCTTTACATTCATATAATATCGTTCTCGAAATACTGGCCAAATCTGCCTATTCTCTTTCACAGACAGCAGATACAGGTTGATGACTGGATATTGACCGCCCAAAGCAGTGGTCAAAGCGTATCTAGTAGGTATCTTAGCAGAAATGGAACGCCCCATAACCATTTCTGTTCTGTTTTTGTTCCTCTTGACCAAGCCATATTGGCATAATTACTCTGTCATTTTCTACTCTTCCATTTGTAGTTTTCGGTGATAGATACTATTATAGACTCATTGTGAGTACCAAAATATCAACTTTTCTTTGATGAAACAGTTAGCCTAACGCAGCAATTTAACGAGTCCCACTGATTAGGGTTTTCAGTAGTAAACTCCTCAAAGTAGGCCATACATATTCATTACTACTCATACATTTCTAATTATCCATTTAACGATCGAATCAGGAATTCAACAAAGGCTGTTTGCTATAAAAGCGGTGGATAGGTGGATTTCGAACGAGTTGCCAGCTGAATGTTTAAGCTAGCATACTTTGAACTTAGTATGTGAAGCCTTGTACGATCGAATTATTTTGAAAGCATCTTTCGTTCCTAATAAGGGTCTAATAGGACAATTCTACTGACTACGTAAGTAGTTATTGTCTCCCGTCAACTTTGCTTCTAAAAGACAAGTAAGATACAATCTGCAGTAGCCCACCGCAATTATAATACACGACTGGCTAGATGCTGCAGCTTTTGATTATCCAATAATAGATCTTGCCTCCTTCTAAGGTATTCATTTAGGTATTCATTAAATTGTTCGTTGTAAAGAATATCTACATACATATGTACATATTATCATATGCACATATGTATTGGAGTGGACTGGTTTACTTTATCGATGACTGACATGAACGAGCATTTCATAGTCATTCGCTTGGCGCTTATCCGGCATATCCTCGTTCTGCAGCAGATACACTTTTGCGTCTAGTGACATCCTCGTGACCTCCTCGTGCACGTGTCGGGTGGGCCTCCTTTGCTTCCGCAAGCAGCTGCGGTGCACCCTGAGTGCACAGCTTGAGGTGTTCGACACCGTTCGGGGGGCCCTGCGGCACGAGTCCGCGGTAACAGGTTTGTGCAAACAGACCTACTGCCGATCCGAAGCGCAACCTGTGGTCAGAGTAGGACTCACTGTCATCCAGGTGTGCGCTCTGTCCAATGAGATCGATTCTCACGTCTTTCATACATTCGTACGAATTCGTAAGCCTGTTGCCGAGGGCTTAGCAACAGAATAGACAGATTCGCAATCGGCATGCACCGCAGCCGCGCTCGTACTTATTTGCTTTAGTCCATACGCTCCCTTGCCGGGAAATAGCATAGCATCAGCCGGCGTGCGATTTTGCTTTATTTCTAGATGGCTTCGAAAATAGCTTGGCAGTGCCAAGACCTCGACTCTATTTTGACAAAGTCGGTTTAGCATAGTGTGTCACCATTTCTTGTCACCAGGTGTTGTACTTAGTAGGAGGATTAGGAGATATAAGAATTAACGAGTTTGCGCCACGGCCTTTGAATTTCACGATGTCAATACATCCGGAACTTACCTTTATGGTCTGCTTTGCCTCGACAATCGGAACGCGCAGAAGCTGCGTGTTTTTTTCCTGAACACCTTTTGTCGGTGCGCCGCTAGAAGCAGAACGTCGGACTTCTTTGCTGTATAGTCTTGAACCATTTGCAGCCAAATTTAGCGGAGTTAGAGTTTTTCGTATAAAAACGGCGGAAAGGGTGCAAATGGGTGCTAAAACAAAAGATCACTATCACTGAGAAAAACGCAATACTTCCTTTTGGAAGGCTCATTACATACTATTAATCTATAAACATTTTTAACCGCAGAGGAAATACGTTCGAAGTAACAAACGAATCAGCAACAGGGTTAGCGAATAGGCCGGAAGGGTATTTTATCTCAATAAAACATAATAATACGAAAAGCAATTAAAGAGACATAGAAAGACTACATTTTCACTAGAAAAATTCTCACGTTCGTTACTACGGCTACTTCTATTTGACGATCTGACTGTACCGTAACGCTCACTGAAACATCGCGACCTCAGTTAATGAGGTCCTCATATCTAATTATTCTTACATCAGAGCTGTAGTACGTGATTTATCCTGTAAATTGACAAAAGGGACTTTTAATATTTTAGCAAAAAAAATCAATACGGTAGATGTTTTTTTTAACGCTTTGTCGAATGCCTGGCCATCCATTTAGACAGTTTTATTTTCTAATAACATACATTTACTAAAATTTGGAAAACCAATAACGATAATCATCCTGATCATCATTTGCGAGATAATAATAATAATTTGTACCTCACTAACACAGACGCAATAGACAGCCAATAATCCTTCCCTGATATAATACAGATCTTCGTCGTATTTTAATAATTTCATGTCACATATTCATAATTACTCTAGTATGATTTTCACTGGATTTTTATTCGTATGCATTGCTTAGTTTCCGTTTACCATTTTGTCTTACTCGTACGTGCATCTTAATCAACTATATATGAGGATTACATCTTACCGCAATGGAAGAACTTCCAGAAAGCTCTTTGTAGAGTATCTGAGTGTCAAATTTTCATAGACATTAGAAGCAAACAGAAAACGCTTCAAGGTTAGCACTCTACTTTCCCAGTGAGTCAGAAAGAGACCCCTGCTCCTTACACGATCGTGAAAGTACCTGTAAGCAAAGGGTCCTGTAAGGCTTCATCAGATACGACGGACCTAAGCTTAACGCCAATCACATGTAAGCTAGGTTCACATGACTACATATATAAGAGGACTACTCCGCAGTTTGCTCCTGAAAGACATGTCACTTGGTCGTTGCGGCGGCGCGTATTATAGCTTTACGTGAACGGGAGCACGAAAATAAACCTTTACATCACATGACCATGGAGCATTCGTCATATGTAAGCAAGAATTGTTTGACGGCCTATACCAACATGATACACACCCATGGAGTACCGAAAAGATGTATTTGAGTAGCTCGTGTCAGCCTTTGATTGATTTTGTACATCGACTATGCTGAGTCACGACCTAAATGTGATGCTATGGTTTAGCTTCTTTTTTGTTCAGGAGAAGAAAGCACGGATTGTAACCGTGATCGTTTAACGCAGCACCCTTTTGATATAAAAAGTACGTTTCAGCCAGTTCGACTTAGCAGATCGATTTAAATAATAAACTGACTATTCTGCACTGATAATAGTAACTTGTCATTTTGGCGTATCCTAATTGCTTTCGTGCAAAAGTTATAAAGACCGCCTGTTAGATTTGAAGGTCACCTTGACACCTTTCAACATGATTTGAACGCCACTCCAATCAAACCAGCCACACTGCTGTATTATTGACGAACTTTTCTTATGGCTCAGCGTACGTGCATGGGTCGAATGGTCCAAGAATTTGAGACCCGACGGATTCAGTGGATGATTTCAAGGCTTCTACATACTCGAAGCGAATGCAAAAAAAAAAAAACGATCTTTACAGCGATACTTCAGCCCGTTCGAGCTAAGACATTACGGCAACATATCAATATCGCTGACGAGTGCCAGCCTTTTGGACGTGCATTTACCCTTGCGAGTGAGACTCGGTGGTGGATACTGTCACCGCTGTCCTGCCCTTCTGGGACATCGGCCCCAGAGCCGCTACAATCTACCCCCATATGCTGCAACGTATCTCGTTTTCGTCTTCCTCAAGACAGATCGTTCTACTAACACTAACTGCTCTCGAAACTTTGGTCAGGCTTAATCGTGTGTCTCACCACCATGTAATATCACCAATGGGCAATAACAGATCCATTTATGCTTTGACGTATTGGCTAGAAACTTACCAAAAGCTGATATCTACACGATCGCTGCTCAACAAAACCACCAAAAAACGAATAAAAAAAGCACCAACCGCTAACCGAAACCATTCATGAATGGGTTCGAATTATATACGTAATGCGTGGAGAAAAAGACGAGACAAACGAAAAACGACAACTGATTTTGTTGTACGATATCAAAAGACCGTTTAGTCAAACCGAAAACGACAGCCGGATGGAGGATGCTGAGCCTCTACGTGCACAGGTTTTATCATCTTACAGAATATGTCGTAGTAATCACTTCCGTGCCGGTAACTCACGATGTATTCGTTGAAGAGGTACGACTGCCGAATTGTCAAGACGACGACTAGTACGATAGCAACCCAGTTACTTTCTAACGAGACAAGACAACGATTTATAGTGCTGTCATGTGAATCCATTAGGTAGGCAAGGTCACCACCACGCCAATCAATAAGCATGTAGGAATTGTGCGATTTGGAAAACAATAGCTTGGATTCCACATCTTACGTTTAGTTTACTGCTTTGGACAGCTTGTTTGAGATAAACCACGAGAAACACACAAATACAATTCAATTTTGGGAAAAGACGATTCATCCGGCTGAGGAACATTCAATTTAAAGACGTCTGGGTCTGTCACTGTCGTCGCCATAACGACTGTTGGTGAAGCTGTGGTCGTTGCTTGGACTGACTCTTCCACAGCATTCTACGGACGTCATAGTCAATGGCATGATACAAGCACGGTCAAGTCCTTCATGTTGAAGCAAAAAAGTAAAAAAAAAAAACAGAAGAATCAGCTCGAACAACCGCTACTGCTGCAACCACAAGTAAGATCGGTGCTACCGATAAGGCTGTCTCCGTATCGATCGCTGCCCACCACATAAAGTTTCCTAGTTTCTCAGTTCCGCTGCGGCAGTTCCCTCATCAGACTGTTGTTCCCAGTAGCTCGCGCGTATTTTAATGCTAACTGTAGTATCGCGATGGGCACACTGCCCAATCAGACGTCTTTTGTCCTACGTCTATACCATGTAGTTACACGTTCGGCCTGTGCGCTGTGACGAAAGGGTCTGCATGCGATACAAGCGAGTAGCGAGCTTACCAACGGGCCTGTCGATCTAGTGGCCGGCAGTTCGCGTAAAAAGTTAGAAAACGACGGACGAGGATTGATACCAAATTCATACGTGTTCCGGAATGGATTCATCGTCTTTGGTAGCTAGGCTCTAAAATACGAAACATCACCACGAACATTCGATAATAGCACGTATTGCTGACAAGCGTTCGCTCACACTTTTGAACTTTACCCTTACAGATCCCTGTTTCCCTAACAAGCGACCTCCAACTGCCAACAACTCGTGTCATTTTACTTATCTTCATGGCGTCGACGTAAAGATCCACAAGAACGGCCCCGGTCGCAACACGAAGATGAATCAAACAGCGTTTCTTTTAGATTTTATAAAGAATACACCAGCTGTATAGTGTGTTGACAAACTCCGACGCAAACTGTGAGGTTTTGGAGCTGGAGATGGAACTCGAAACGTATACATGGTGATGCTAAACTACTGATAAGGTCAATGGCATTGGATAACGGTATCGTTATCGTCGTATTAGAGGTTTATGACTTCCCGAAAAGCGAAGAGAATGGAAGCGGAGAAAAAGGACATTAAAGCACAAGATTTTGTCTGTCTGACGGTCATCCCTGGCCTCTTTTAATTTCGTCGTTGACATGTCAGCCCTCTACTTGATTGAACCCTTGTCGAAAGCTATACGTACTATATGTATTCCACGCTTGAATAACAAAAAACCATGACCACTGTGTTTTTACTGTTGAAAGGATTTCACCAATCACTTTATAGTCAATTGACAGCGAGCGGTCCGGTGCGGCCAGAGAAAAATGTCACTGTATATCACAGGCACCTAACTTAGCAAAATCTCAAGCCGAGAATTTGCCTTTTCTCATTCTCAGTCTATAAGCGTTTACAGTATGGAATGAACTTAGGCAAATGTATTAGACCTTCTGGCAAAGGTCATTACATGGATCTGACTTATGTTATCCTATTGCTAACGATAGTACAATCACTATAGGTTTGAAAGCCGGCTTATTAAATTATCGAGATCCAGGTCAGTATAACGTAACAAACAGACAATGATAAAGTACGTTTTTACGAGGTCAGCTCTTTAAACCCTACTTCGTATGGTAATCGAACATATGTTGTTTCTCAACTTTGTAACATCCGATCAATTTCCTAGGGTCACGTTCCGCTATGGCAAATTTGTGTATTCTTATTTTTCTGAGTTAAAGAATAATATCTGAATCGAACGCTCCTTTGCGGTACACACTAAACGACCTCGTGGTAAGGTCACGTTATGAATTATGTGAACTTTAAAATAAGATGATCGCTATTGAGCAATACCCCTTGTAAAGTAGATAGCATTTTAAATAGACTCACAGTGTTAAAATTGTATAACTTTTTTAATACCAGATTGTTGTAGCATCTGGACTATGTAACTCACGCACTTAACTCCATAACTCTCATACGGGAAAATTGTCATTGTCTCTTCCTAGATAGGCAGCACGTCAAATATACCCACATTAATGAGATCGTATAAACGTAAACAACAGCGTTTCTAACATCGCTTTTTTATGTTTTTCTTTATACCACCTTTTACCCTCACCTTTTGCTATTGCTCTGTCTCAAAAATGTCTTCCGTCATATCTTTCACGTTGTTGCTGCTGCGCTGGGCGACTCATCATCGGATCGTTTAACTCATCATCCACCGTCACTGCGGATTAATTCTTTTGTTAGAACAAAGCTACGTATTGTGCCAGGACGACAAGCGGCAGGATCTTGTACCATTCCCACGAATCGGTAAACGCCAAGGTCTCATTCCATTCCCAAGAATTGGCCGCTCCGTAGGTCAGCCATCGGTTCTCAGCGGGCCGTCTGTAGGAGGCCCAACTGAGGATGCTGCTATTGGGACAGGGCTCGATGATGATGAGAACAACTGGGAGAACGGCGCTGATACTGCCTACATGCTCGTACCCGATTACATGTAAGTTACTCTAGTTTCTGATCGCCTTTTTGTTTGCACTGCGGTGCGGCCTCATGAGGGCGGGCCACATCCTCATATTATGGTTCGTTTTACTGAAGCTTTGGTCAGTATGGACATTTTAAAACGAGCCGACTGAGAGGCGTCTAAATAAGCTCATTTCACTGACTTGCAAACGGTGCGTTTGGTATTTTTATCAACTCGTGGTTTGGCTAGATCTTTTATAACAGCGGCACAAAAAAGTGCCATAAACACTATGAAAAAATGGGAATTGACTAAGAAATTTAGCTAGATCTCATGAATTACGTATTATATGGCGTCTGTTGAATACATCATTGCGAGGTTTGAACCAGCTCTTTTTCGGCTATGCAACTTATTCTTCAATGGTTTGTCCTAGTATCGAAGCAAGCAACGACATCTAAATTCTTTCAATTATAGTTCTAGTAAGAATTTTAAGTGGAATCAGTCACACTTTGCTGAAATATGTAAGACAATGAGAATACCGCCAAGGACAAAAACAAATCACTATGTACCCTTCGGAGTATCTGTTTTTTTTTTTTTTTTGATAACCTCACATGGTTAATGCTCATCAACCAACTCGACCATGCGCGTTTTGAATGCGTTAGGAACGGCCTGTAGAAACTCAAATTACATGCATCGTTCTATGAGGGTTTGCGGAATTTTCTAGCTTTTTGTAGTAGTCATGCCTTTACATCTGGCTCACCCAGTAACAACGGTCTTGCTACTGCCACTTACCTCTAATGCTTATTATCTATTTATTTTTTTATCTATCTACCACTAAGACCTATTTGCACGATGATCGTATATGTTTCGTGTACTAGTCTGGTATATATGGTGAGTAAAGCATTTTTGAGCGTCTTACTCAATCGAGACGAAAGCTTTCTGTAACTACTGTGGATGGCAGCTCTCTATAGCGGCTAATATACTAAACAATTCGTTAAAATCCGCGCTGTTATCTCCGCCTGTTAAAAATAGAAAACAGTCAGCTAGAAATAAATCTCTCTCTACATTGACTCTATGGCGAACCACCGCGCGAATTATGACTAGTCAACATTGCCGAAGAGCCGGGAGGTGGAAACATCAGCGAGCAAAAAATACTCCAATCTAATGACAATGAAACAAAAAGCCGCTACGATTTTAGCTGTTAAAAAATTGGCCAGATCATACCAAATGCGTGTGATGAAGAAACTCATTCTATTATAGGCATTAGCGGTACAAAATATTTGGCGACAAGATACGTGGAACTCAGACAATGTACATATATGGAACCCTTACTCAGTTCAACGTTGGGGGCGTAGAAAAGACGCGTACACAGCAATCGATTTATGAAACTATGTTTAAATATTCATGGCTGCTTATATAGTCGCCACTATGCATTCCGCATCGTTATGCTTAAGGAGGGGTCACGGAAACTTGTTATCCTTGAGCTCTATATATATATATATATTTGGAGTCTCGTTATTCGATTGTTTTTGACTTATAACTTAACACTATTGTAAGTAAGTTTACCCTCTGCGGTGTCAACTGAAATCTGATCAGGGTTTTCTGTGGGATCTGAGCCCCACGGGGCTGCCGTTAATAACAGCAGGTTCAAGCCACCTCAAGAAAAATCGAGTTACTCAGAGCGAAAGACTGCCTGAGCGGAGCCAGTGCTATCGTTCCGTTTACAAACAGTGTCAAGCTAAGATACCTAAGTAACCCGTTCCCTTCACAATATCTATAGCTAACTGAAGTACACATTAGCGTTTGGAGAAGTGGTTCTTATTATCTCGTGGTTTACTGAGTGTATTTTACCTAAAATTTCTGTGGTTTCATCATTTAAGTTTTCAATATGGTGTGCTAGGCATAGAGATTTTAGCCCATTATAGATAAAAGTAAAGATAAAGTCTAGCTCCAAAAGTTTTACCAGTAACTGACTCCAGGACGCTAATTTTTTCGATAACGGTACTAAAGTTCTTCGAGTATGATGTTGGCACAGGTCGGCTGGACTTTCAAATCTTCCTTAAAACCCCTCTAGATACGCACGTCAACGTTCAAATAGTGCATTGTTTTTTTTCGAGAGCAAAGACAGAACAACGCATTCATGATCGCCGTAGAAATACTGACCTGGCATTTATCCCTTTAAGGGCGTTGGAAATTTGCCCTCTATGCATATCGCGAACCCGTGTACTTGCTTTTTTTTTATACAGATGCCGCCCGTACTTCCGGAAATGATGGCGAAATCGATCGATTTTTATCGCTTGAATGCGGACGACTATCTAAGTTTGCGAAGCAGAAGCAGAAGCTTGACTCAGCAATATACGCATAAGAAATAGTAAATAAGACATAAGGTAGTTCATCAAAATACAAAGTCCCTATATAACAAGAAAGAGCTAACTATTTAAACACGCATATACTTTTATAGGCCACTAAATAGCGTTCGCCCCTATACCGATTTCTATATAATCAGATTTTCCAATCTAAACTACTGTCCTGCCAATTATATCTGTCTCGAGACGATTTTCTGACCTATTTACTTTCGCTTATCTACTAAAATTGATTCTCAAATAATTATTTAACTCGAAACGAAAACAACAATGCCAGGTCGACCGCAAAGCGATCGTTCCGTAAAATCATGGTGGTAAAAAAAAGAACTTACACGTTTTACTTCTGCCTACTATAATTACGCCTGGTGAAAGCTAGGAAGGGATAGGGAAAAGAGTGCGATCCACCGAACGGACGTCCATTCAAAATAGGACTTATCAAACAAGGATGAGCCGAAATTCGTCGCAACTCTCTTATTGGTCACGTTTCAATTAATCATTGTTTCGTAACTCTGCAACATTGAGAAGCCGACAGTCAATTGCTTCCGTGTGTACTTTTGCTAAATTGTCGATAACACACAGATATTATATTGTTTCATTTTGAAATAGCACGAAAACAGTTTTAAACAGTAAAAAAAAAACCCCGGCCATCCGTTTGTAAACTATTCACACAGATGACGATGATATCGTTATTATTACTACCGACGGCGTGTATACCTTGTTCGATGAACGGTATAAAAGGCTGTATCGCAGCCTTCTCCTGAACAGCAAAGCCGATAGCTTTGCCCATTTCACGTGCCAGCACAATAGTACGAGAAGTATTATTGTGATCAGATGTTTCTTCTATAACTGGCTTATTTTCCTCGAATCGCTCGCTTTAGATGGGTCACTGTCCAACCGTAACAACATACTTATTTACCGGTGCGTCTTGTTGGTCGTACGTAGGCGTTCTGTCTTTTGTTAGGCAGTTTAACTTGAATGTACGACGTCGTCTTCTACTACGGAACACAGCGCGAAGCGGCAGTGACGGGACGTCGTAAACGCGAGGTCAAAGTTTATAAAAGTATCCACCACCATAAACCCGGCCCAGTGGGCTGGCCACTTCCAGCCTTGGTGTCATTATCAAGGCCCAAATGACTAAGCCTGATCCAAAATACGAGAAAATTTGACACTATGTAGTGCGTAGTAAAGGCTAACGAGCATAGCCGTCCCTCACTTTATTCGGATCATCACTCATGCCATGTGCTTTGTTGGCTATTTATAACTGCGTGAAAAACATTTCAAGAAGTTACGCTGAATTAAAGCAACCAGGGCATTTACCTTGACGGAACTAGATTTTGGTAAAGGCAGATCTACGGACTATGAGATACGTTTGTTTATTCTATATGCAGAGTAGGCACGGCCAGTATGCACGTGTCAGATCCGAACAGCGTGTACCCGGAAGACATACGAGAAAGGTATTCGAATTAGAACAACAATAAAAAAATTCTCATACCCTTCGTAAATAATGCGTAACTGAATCAGGATCAGTTAAAATAGCCGCTACGCCGAAACCCTTTCAATGTCAATATCAGTCTGGAGCAACAACTCGCCTTACGTTTTATTCTACTGAAAGAAATGTTGTCGTTGAATTACAAGTTAGGGGCAGCTTGGTGAGTCGATAAATTATTTATTAAGCGATTTCACGAAGCAACTGTCTACAGTCAGGCGCATTAACTTTTACGGACAACCTCATTTCGTACGCAACAGAGCCACCTTCATTAAATTAGGTATGTCAGGAAAAACCTTCGAGGATACATTTTTCGTTGCAGCAGTGCCATGTTTGGCCAATGAGTATTTTCTGTTATGTTTTGTAACATACACCAATCATTATAATTATTGTACAGGATGAAATAGAGGTCCTTTTCATATATAACATCTAACATCAGTGTACATATGTATGACGAAAGTTCTAAAATGTCAAACATACTTTGGCTTGAATTTGTATATAAATATATATTTTGCAAATATTACAGATGACATGCAAAATGCTACCATTAAAAAGTTCTAAGTTAATTTTTCCGATACATTTTTCTTGGCACCGCCAGCCATCTAATCTAGTGGAACGTCCTAAATATGTTTCCGTCCAAAAGGGCCTAATCCCTTTCATTACGTACTGCTGTATATACTATTATCACAAACGTATCTTACTTTTCCAAATATTTTTTCAAAGTCCTTGTCGCTCTGCAATGCAAAAAAAGTACATAAATAAAGCCGCATATAAAAATTGTTTTTACCCATCAAAATGTACTGGCGGTTAATTACAGTATAACAGTCATTAAATCAATATCACAGTGCTGAAGTACATTGATTCAGCCGCGTATTTCTAAGGCTACGCAGTCCTAAGGCACGTTGATCAACTAGCAAAGTTCCTTAAGGATAAATATATCTTCAACCTTCGTCCTTTTTGCACATTCGTTCAATACATATGTACATAAAAATAGAAAAACAGTTAACTGCTTCTACAAGTAAAAACCTCTATCCTGTCTTCCATAGAATTACGTTTCATTTCTAAGCCCCTTTTTAACGCGTAAGAAATAATTGCACCTATATCAACTCAGCTAGCACAGGAGTTAATGTAACGGTTAAACATCGCACAAGACCTAGAACAGGATCACTAATCAAATTTAATGGACGACA